TCTCTGTAGAACATTAACATATCCTGCTTCTAACTCTCATACACTGTTATTAAAATAGATCGTAGGACATAAAATAGGATATATGGTTGAAAGAGATCCCATATGTCCCTAGCTTCTTTAGCAGAATAGGTGGGCACAATTTATTTTATGTATATTTTTCACTTAGGGCCAGTATTATGGATATCGATTATTATGCTGTTATCTTTTGAGGCAGCTAACATGACATGACTCTTTGTTCCTGATACCAGCTGTCCTAGGCTTGGTTTCCTAGAAACAGAGCTTGAGACAGGGACTTGGGTGCATGTGATTTATAAAGTGAGAGCTCTCAGGATAAAGAGAGGGAAGGACGAAGGATAGAGCAGAAGAAAGAAGTAGGCACAGATGCTGATTAGACTTAGAGTCAAGCTGAAGCCTGACCCCACAGGGAGTTCTGGATGTGGAACTGCATCACAAATTTGGCCCAATCTTGAGGCAAGAGGGAAGGCAAGAGGGAAGGATGGCTGTGGACTGTCAGGGCAGGGCAGAGGTGCGAGGTCATGTTATATCTCTAGTTTGGATGGCCCCTTTTGGAAACTACTAAAAGAGGCAGCTAAATGCCATTAGCAACTAACAGCAGCTGGAGAGAGACGCACTCACATAAGGGGATCTAGGTAGAGTACCAAGAGCATTACCAAAATAATTTTCTTTGAATTTCGATGGCATTAAATAGTTTAAAAGTACTTTCACATCAACTATCTCAGTTACACCTGTTCCAAATAGTCCAGGACTGCAAGGCCTGGTTTATAATCTCATTTTTACTATATATTATGCTTTTCTGTAACTGTCTCTTGTCAGCTGTTATTTCTTGCTGTTGTCACATGTACATCTTTTCTGATTTAGGAGAAAATTCAAAAGTCAAGCTTGTTAAAATTATGCCTAAAATAAAAATAAATCAATAGGGTTAGAGTAAAGCTTAATGAATTTCCTCATATAAAAGTACATGATCTTTAAAACATGAAGCTTATGATATGAGTTTTGGCCTATCAGAGATTCGTGGCTGCTTTGCAGATAGTTGAAGTAGTGGTAAGACTGAGATGTTGCTGAAGCTATTATTTAGTAGGATTAAAAAACTAGTATCAACTTCTGAGTTAATTAAACACTTATTTGATATTGATCTATTAATACTCTAATAACACAATAAAGTATTTATTTTGTGTATTCTGCTACCTTAACAATAGCTGAAATGTTACAAATACTTGCTTTCTAGAAAATAACTTCTGATAATGTAATTGCATCTTAGGAGGTTTACAGACATATGCTTCAGATGAGGCTCAGAACAATGGCCTTATGGATGCTTTTGGGGCCCTTTCGTCAGGAAATGGAGCTGTCTTCCAGCGCTCCATCCAGGTCAGAGTTCTTCCTCTTTGGTTTTTCATGTTTATAAATAATTGTAGCCAAGATGGAGAGTTTAATGGTTAAAAGTTTTTAAGTTCTACATTCTCCTAGTACTGAATTAAAATTAAAATAGAAGTTTCAACCTGATATTAGACATTATTCCTGAAATGCAACACTACTTGTTTAAACAAGGCAATAAATGTTTACTTGTTTGGAAACAATACTAAGTGACTTCCTTGTAAAAACCAGAAACATAAAATATAATAGGTCCAAGAATTCTTTTTTTAACATCTGTTGACAAGCACCCATAGCAATATAATTGGCTCAGAATTTTCGTCAGAGTAGATCAGCTCAATACAAATGTTCTGGGACAAGTGTTCAGGGATTACTTGCTCTGTTTTTCCATTATCTCAAATCTCTGATATAGGCCAAGATTTTCATATAATGAATGGAAAGTTCTTTGTACTGTGAAAAGCCTATGGTCTCAGTCCATAGGCTGTTTGCCATTAACTCTGTCATCATGAGTAAAGAACTTCACCCCTCTGGGCCTCAGTTTCTCAGTCAGATATGAAACAGCAAATTTCCATAGGCCCTTCTGGTTCTAAAACTTCAAGAAAATCAAATTTTCTTTACAAAGTTTTGGTACTGTTAAAAAAAGAGAGAGGGAGGGTGTATTTTAAAATGCTTTTCTCTAATAGTTGCAAAAATTACACAGATTTTTAAACTAGACAGAGTAACAATCAGCACTCATACCTGTGTGAATTGTAACTTTTATTGTGAAAGTTTGGATAAAAGTAAAAGAATATATGATGTCAACATCAAATAATGATAGATTTCAAAGTAACAGGCTTTCTGGTCTATTGATATAGTATTTATTCAGCCAAAGAAGAAAGCAATTATACTCATTTGGGCTATCCTAGCTCAGATTTAGAAAATTAAACTCAAGAGCCCAGTTTGGAAATGGGAGAAATGTATCTTAGAAAAGTAATTAAATTGATAAAAGGACAAGTTCACAGGCAATTTCTGCCCATTATTTTTGTATTTAAGAAACCTAACAGCAAGAGAGATAGAGAAATGAGTGTGATTCATTTACCCACCTGCTATAAGAATCTAAGAGCCCTTTACTTTCTCCATATCCAAGCTCATAATCTACCTGTAGAAGGAACTAGGAAGTCTGGCTCTATGACCAGGCCACCCTGTATTCTAATAGATATCAGTTTGAGGACAGTAGGAGTCAATATTGTGGAAGCTAAAGTCGAAAAGGTAATTTAGAATTAGATCATAATAGGTCCTAAATACGAAACCAAGGACTCAAGTATCATCGAAGGCTTTTTAATGGGGAAACTGAGAGATAGGGGCATAATAGAAGAGACTAAGTGATGGGGACTGCAGTCTCCAGAAAGTAAAGAATTGTTTTCCTTAACAGCTTGAGAGTAGAGGATTAACCCTCCAGAACAATGAGTGGATGAATGGCACAGTGATTGTGGACAGCACTGTGGGAAACGACACTTTGTTTCTCATCACCTGGACAGCACAGCCTCCCCAAATCCTTCTCCTGGACCCCAGTGGAAAGAGACAAGATAGCTTTACAGTGGACACAAACACCAAAATGGCCTACCTCCAAATCCCAGGCACTGCCAAGGTATGGAGTTAGCTTTCTTCCTTCTCACAATTTGACAAGATAAAATAAAATTTTTATAGAGTAATCGTAACTTTTTAAATGTGGGTGATGCTAAGGAGAATCAGTTGAATGAAAGAGAGAATAAGGAAAAATCTCCATCCAATGGAAATCATTAATATGATAGCAAATTAAGAGAAAGGAAATTGGTGATATTTTCTCCAGGTACTAAAAGTAGAACCTTCAAATTACATAGCAGTCAAGATGCAACATGATCCTTGAAGCTTCGGGATAATGAAAACTATTTCCTCTACCTCAGGAACCCATCAATTTTACCCTGCTCTTGAGAAACCAAGGCAATGATTAGGACACAGCTTTCAGATTTCATTTTCGCTAACTAGGATATTCTTAACAATAAAAACCATGTAGTTGGTTCAAATGTACTGAAGTTTCCTTTGGCTAAAAGTATCATTAATCAGGTTGGCTCCATAGTGTAGTGGTTAGCACATCTGCTTTACACACAGAAGGTCCTGGGTTTGCGCCCCAGGTGGAGCCATGGACCATGCCTCAGGTGTGCCAGGACCCTCAGGTGCACCAGGCCCCCCAAGTGTTCTGGGGGGCCTGGAGCCCAGGTGTACGCTGCGAGCATGTGGGAGAAGACACCTCGACTTCAGAGATCCAGTTCTTAAGGGGAAATGGGAACATCCATAGGTCAAGGGTGGAAGTTGGGAGGGGGGAATTAAAGATGGGGGGTGAGAGGGAAGTATCAATAAACATCTTAGATATGCTTGTAACATGTTCGTATCATCTGGCTTCTCCTATAGGTGGCACTGAAGTCAGGTATATGTCACCTAGTTACTAATTAAAAATGTCTCCATTTGTTTTGGTCAGGTTGGCATTTGGAATTACAGTCTGCAAGCAAGCTCACAAACCCTGACTTTGACTGTCACCTCCCGTGCATCAAGTACTACCTTGCCTCCAGTTACAGTGACCTCTAAAATGACCAAAGACACAGTGAAATTCCCTAGCCCTATGGTTGTTTATGCAAAGATTCACCAAGGAGCCTTGCCGATTCTCAGGGCCAGTGTCACAGCTCTGATAGAATCAGTGAATGGAAAAACATTTACCTTGGAATTATTGGACAATGGAGCAGGTAACCACCCAAGAAAACAAAGATATATTTTCCAAGAAGCAACCAGGAAACAGCAGGAGGGCATGGTCTGGTGAGGACACTTAGAAGTAGGGAGTCCAGACCTCCATTGGAGGTCTGATTAAAAGAGCTCTCCGCCTCTCCACAATTCCTATATTTCAAAGTGTTAGAAAACATAAAGAAGGGCCTACCTTTAGCTTCTGCAAAGCCCAAACACATTAGTGGCTCAGGCTCAATAGGTTCATAGACTCTAGAGAGTTGTCAGAGGATATTCCACATTCCCCATAAAGAAAAGAAAAGGAAAATTAATAGCTATTAGTGTTAGGTATTTTGTGTGAAGATTATATACATTTCATTTTTATCTTCACCACACACTTGAGATATTATCTCTACAGTACAAATGAAGAAACTGAGGCTTTCACATTTAGAAAGCAGCACGGATGGAGTCAAGTACAGTTACATGTTACTCCCGTATCTAAGCAGACTGTATATTATCTTATCCCCAGAGTGAAAAGCCTGTCTATTATTTTTGTATTCAAGAAATCTAACAGGGAAAAAGAGAAAAATAATTTTACATTTCATTTTAGGAGGAACTTGACTACTTACTATGATACAAGTAAATTTTTTTAGTAATTTTTTCTCCTAGTTTCATTGAGATATAATTGGCATACAGCACTGTATAAGTTTAAGGCATATAGCATAATGATTTGACTTACATATATTGTGAGCAAATTATTTTTTAAAATAAATCAATTATAACAAATTGTTATGAAAATAGAAAATCTTTTATCCTGTGGGTTCCAAATTATTTTTTATTTTTCAGTTATGAATGACATTCAATATTATTTGATGCAAGTAATCTTATTAGAACAAATTCTAGAAATAAACATTTCCTACCTAAATCTACCCCAAGAAGTCATGAGTTTTTGAAAAGTAATCATATAACATTTTCTTCTCCCCAGTAACATACAGCAATTCTATTCAGTTCAACAAATACTTATTGAGTAGTTTACTTGTGCTATGTTGCATGTAACAGAGATATATGACGTGATCTGTGATTTCAAAAAGAAAGGCAACACTCAGATATCTTCCCAATGTACACATATAAAACTATACACACATATACGCGTAAAAGAAGAAGAAGGCCTCGTCCTTAACATAGTCAAATCCTAAAGTCTCTTGGAGATAATGCCAGATTCTCTTTGCTTTGAAAATTATTAACCCATATATGAGTTAGAAATATACAAGTCCCCAATTACTTTTAGGATATCCATTAATTCCTTCATTTTCTTCTCAAGGTGCTGATGCCACGAAGGATGACGGTATCTATTCAAGGTATTTTACAGCTTATGATACAAATGGTAGATACAGTGTAAAAGTGTGGGCTCTGGGAGGAGTGGCCAGACAGAAGAAAATACCCCAGCAGAATGGAGCCATGTACATACCTGGCTGGATTGAGAATGGTAAGTCAACTGTAATAGCACACCTGACTTGAATAAAAGACTTGGGATCAAGAGAAAACCCTTAAGCCTCTGTGGAGAATGGTGCAGGAGTAAATCAAGGTTTCTCAACTTTGACACTATTGACCTTTTGAGCCACATATTACTTGTTGTGGGGGCTGTCCCGTGCATTATAGGATGTTTAGCAATATTCCTGGCCTCCATAGATATCAAAAGCGGCCCTTGCAGTCATGATAATTAAAATGTCTCCAGACATCATCCATTGTCCTCTAGGAGGCAAAATAGCCCCTGGTTGAAGAAAATTAGATTGAATGTAACTTTTGACTGCCTCGGTTCAAATTCCAGCCCTCTATCAAATAAATTATTTTAGGTAATCTCTTTGTGTTTCACTTTCTCAGTTGTGAGATAGAGATAATAATGGTTATTACCATGTGGGATGGTTATGAGCAGTAAACAAGGAAATATACCTAATAAATTGTTGCTGATAAACATCAAGTGTTCAATAAATGTTTATTATTTTTAGTAAATAATAAACATTTTTCAATGAAGGTCTTTCAATTGATATAGGCATTTCCTGGAATCAAAAAATAATTTAGGGCTTCTTATCTACATCAACGTCACCATAAGGCCACCACCTCTTTTTCCTCCTCTCCCTGCTCAGACCAGTAGATGAATCTAATACCAGCCAGAACACTGATCCCACATGCAAGCAGGTGGGAAAATTATGCTCCAAGAAACAAACAGTCCTACATCACTCTTGTTATGAACACTTGTCCCAGACTAGAGCTGAAATTGGTACAAAGACTAAGTCCTGATGGGTTCCAGGACTTGTTTTCCATCAATCTCCACTATGTCCTGGGTAAGTCTTTTCTTAGTACTGATGTGTAGTAAGAACTGCTCCTCCAAGAAGCCTTCCACTGTACTCTTAGGTATATGCTCAGTAAAGGGAGAATTCTGAGACATTCGGTGTCTCTTCATGCATAGGTGTTCATAGAAAAAAAAAAATGCTTTAAAAGACACCATTCCTTGCAAAGCTCTTTTAAATATTTCAGTTTATTTTATTCCCATTTGCCTGCTTTTTTGAGTCAGGGGAAGAAGCCAGGACAGGACTGGTTTACTGGCTATATGTAGTCTATGCTCAATGTTTTACACTGAGTACACCTCATTTTCCTAATTATCCAATTTTATAGATCTCTGGGGAAACAGAGACTAGAAAAGTTATTGGTCCACATAACTAATGGTGGTAGCACCTGGCTTGGCACTGGAAAGCCATGTTCTTCCATCCATATCTTGATGAGCCTTCATACCAAGAGAGACAATCTTTATTGATGAATCTAATACTAACCCTGAAACTGCTAATTTACCCACTTTATCTTTGCCCACGACCAGATTAATGGATACGAAGATCAATCTGTCTTTATAGGTGAAAATTTTAAGAGCTAAAGAAGTAAAGTTTATGAGGAAATAAATTTGCTACAAGAACTAGGTTTCCATGCATTCATTAAGAAAATGAGAAGTTTTTTCAAAAGCATAAAATTTTAGAACCCCTAATGTGAAACATTCATGAGAAACTAAAATTAAATAAGAAAGATAAAACACAAACATGGAGAAAGAGAAAAAGTGCACCGAATAAATAATCAAGGCATCGAGGTGATACTTAAAGGTACAGATAATTAATTAGCAAATAAATAGAAAAGATCATGAAACCCACAGTATTATTTAGGGGAGAGAGATTTCTTGATGCAGTGTGAGGAGTTCTAAAACAGAGGTATTTAAACTGAACTTGTGGAAAGGTAAGGCCGGGATAGGCTAAAAGATGGCAAAATAAACAATTCCAGGACAAATGTCATGAAAATAAATTATGAAAGTTATTCTACTAAATATTTAGGAAATGTCTGTGAGATAAAGAACCATGATTCTTTCTTTGCCTTTTTCCATCTGATGCAAATTGATTTGGAATCTTTACACCTAGTAGTTAAAACTAATTTTGTGTGTAGGAGGAAAGAAGGGGAAAGGAAGAGTAGAAGAGGGTAATCCAATAATAAAACAGGAAGTATACTCATTTAGTGGTGCTGCTTACCATATACTGAGGAATGTTTTAATGCAGGTGAAATAAAATGGAATCCACCAAGACCTGAAATTAATAAGGATGATCTTCAAGGCAAGCAAGTGTGTTTCAGCAGAACGTCCTCAGGAGGTTCATTTGTGGCCTCCAATGTCCCAAACGCTCCCATACCTGATCTCTTTCCACCTTGTCAAATCACCGACCTGAAGGCAAAAATACAAGGGGACAAACTTATTAATCTAACGTGGACAGCTCCTGGGGATGATTATGATCATGGAAGAGGTGAGCTAAATGTGGTGTGGACCCTGCAAAGGAGTTTAGCAGCTAAGCAGAGGTGCAGAAGGGGGTGAGGCAGGCTGGTGTTTTGTGCTGCATGTGGAGGGCAGAGGCAGGAGGGATCTTGAATGCCCTCTGAAAAGTAGGTAGTTCGGGGGAGGGTGAAATGGGTTAAGGGAGCAAATATGATAACAGATGGAAACTAGACTTTTGGTGGTGAGCACTCAATAGAGCATACAGATATGAAATTATTATGTTACACACTTGAAACTTATATAATGTTATTAACCGATATTACCTCAATAAGAAAATTAATTTTAAAAAAAGATTTTAAAATGAAAGGTTTAGAATCTAAAAAACTTGCCTACTTTAGGTGTAAGAAGTTTCAACCAAGGAAAGGCAATCCTCAGTTTTTTCCTGAAATCTTGCCAAGGTGTCCTTTAATAAACCCCATTTTTAGTAATGACTCCTGGAGAGGACTGGAAATAGAGCTTAGATATCTATGGAGCAGAGCTATCCTTTGGAAGAAACCTCTCAAGGTATGATCTGTGAACTGCAGCATGGGCATCACATGAAGGCTTGTTAGAGACTGTAGAACTTCAGGCCCCACCCCAGCACTACTGAACCAGAATCTACATTTTAAAAACTCTGGGTGATTTGTGTGCACAATAAAGTGTGAGAAGCACTGGTACTGCAAACTCCTCTATAAATAATAAAATAATAAGTAATAATTATCTCCTCTCTTAGCCAGCTGCTATGCCCAGAAATACTGATCAAGCCTGATCCAGTTTTACATTTACCATTCTGTTGAGATACATGAATGAAAATGTAAAAAGATACTAACACTTGTAAAATTGGACTACCAGTTACATTTATTCATTGGAACTTTATGGGATGGTGATATACAGTTTCTAATACTTCTTTAAGTTAAAACTTCTTTAAGACTTGAGAATTATAAGTCATGTCTTTTTTGTTTTTTTCTTCAGCTTACAAGTATATCATTGGAATAAGCACAAATATCCTTGATCTCAGAGACAAGTTCAATGAATCATTTCAAGTGAACACTACTGATCTCATTCCAAAAGAGGCCAACTCTGAGGAAGTCTTTGTGTTTAAACCAGAAAGCATCACTTTTGAAAATGGCACGGATCTCTTCATTGCTATTCAGGCTGTTGATAAAGTCAACTTGAAGTCAGAAATCTCCAACATTGCACAAGTATCTTTGTTTATTCCCCCACAGACTCCTCCAGAGACACCTAGTCCTTCTCTTCCTTGTCCTGATATTAATATCAACAGCACCATTCCTGGCATTCACATTTTTAAAATTATGTGGAAGTGGATAGGAGAATTGCATCTTTCAGTAGCCTTGGGCTGAGTTTTCATAAGATAAATAAATCATCCATCATTCTTTTGATTATGAAATTTTCTAAAATGTGTTTTAGACTACCTATAGGGGGCAAGTTAATGAAAAAAAAAAAAAACAAAGCAACTGGCTACATATGTATAAAAACTACCCATTCAAATCCAAAAGTTTAATCTTCTCTTAGTGATTTATTAATGATTTTGAATACTAGAAAGAAGAGATGCTTATATCAATAAATAGAAGTACGTTTTCATTCATTTTAAGGAGCTTTGCCAGTTAAAAAGAACTTGTAATTGCATATAAGACACCAGAAATGCCCAACCAGGTCAAATTATTTAAATATAAAAGGCCTGGCCTGTCATAGAGAAGATTTGGACCAATATCACCAGTGGTATATATTATTTTCTCTAGATTCAGGCAAAGATAATGCAAGTAAGAAAGATTATATTGTAGAAAGAAATAACAGCTTGATGAAGGCTTCATAGGTATAGAATTTTATGCTATGTACATGAAAGTATAAGCCAGTGATGATTAAAGTCACAGTGGTGGGACATGAGGTGGGATAGGTGGTTCGTGTA